GCATACAGAAGTGAACTGTGAACCAGTGAGCAAGTTCAGTGATAAGCTAAGTGTAAACTCCAGGCCTTACTCCGAATTGTGTGACGATAACGTTGTTGTGAAGAAGTCTGTAGTTGCAACTGGTAAGCCGTTGCTGAATAGAGTGTCACAGAATAGAGTTACTGCTTCAGAGTGGAGTTCTGACTCCAAAAGTTTACAAAGTATAACTAGTCAGAGTGAAGATGTAAAACCTTTAATGATTTGTGAGGAGGAACCAAAATTGTCTACTTCTGTTATTAAAGAGTTGGAAAATGATGAACTTGACGGTAAAGTGAATATTCGTGATAATGATCATGATGCTTCACATTTGTCTTTGGTTGATCATTATGAGATGAGGGATATGCCTACTACTGCTAAGTTAAATAAAGGTTGTGTACAACTACAACGTGAAGTAGAATTGAACGCAGATGCAGTTCCAGAAGGTGTGCATACTTGTGAGACAGTCAGTGTAATTGATCAGCGTGTAGCCCACCTATCATCAGATGATAGTGCTAAATCCGAACTAGTAGTGAAAGACAGCAGTGGTGGTAATCTTGCAGTTGGACAACTATCTGAAAGCCGAAAAAGAACAGCTTCTGATCCACCGCTAACTTCATCACCTTGTGTCACTCAGTCATCGTTGGTGTTTTCATCCACAATGAAACAGATGCCCATCAACTCAAGTATCTTTTGCAATGACTATGATAGTATTGGTGCGTTTGAAAAGACGAAAGATATTGCTCAGTTTAGTGAGAATAAGCCAAATGTAAACGAGAGAGTAATTGTTAAATTGACTTGCACGAATAAAGGCATTTCTAGTTTCAAGTTACTATTTGAATGTTATTATCTTTGGTGTAAATTACTCTGTTTCTATACTTGGTTGATGAGATATGTCGTGTGTTTGTTGGTCATCTACATTCTGCGATACAATGACATGGGCGTGTTGCCGTTCAGATTTGAGGATATAGCTGATAGAAGGAAGTTAGCAAATGAACTATGCGACGATTTTCCAACCTAGAGCGTCAACCTGAGAAGGGTTGTAGGCGTACTGCTGTAAGTCCTACAGTTCTTCAAAGGGTAGCGCATCAATGAGCAGTCCAATGTGCTTGGTGTATGATCTTGTACATATGTTCATATTGTATATACTGAATTGATATCATCTGTCATCTAGCTGTTGGTAATTCTGTTTGTGTCCGGACGACTTCCACTTGGATCATCAACCTGAGAAGGAATGTAGGCGTACTGCTGTAAGTCCTACAGTTCTTCAAGGGTAGTTTGCCGTGTCAGAATCCACAACATTTGATGTGTTGATTGTACATATGTTTGTGTTAAATAGTTGTGTGAGTTCCAATTGATGTAATTGTTGGTTAATCTTGTTTGTGTCTGGACATTCCACAACTTACAATCGTCAACCTGTGAAGGGTTGTAGGCGTACTGGTGTAAGTCCTGCAATTCTTCAAGGGTATTCCATCAAGACATGAAATGCGAGTTTGTGTGTACTGTTTGTATATACGTTTGGTGTGTCATATCAATTGGTGTTATTTGAATTCATTGTGTTTACTCGTCGTATTCGTATCTTGTTCTTATTGCATAATTTTGTTAAAATTTTCGTCGTGATCACTTCTGAAGTTGTGGCCACTCTTCTGCATCCGTGAATGAATTGATTGATGTTAAGGACAGCAGATGGGTCGTATACGCCGGGGAGGCTAGGCTATTGCTGAGAATGAAATGCACACGGAGATAATTGTTAGCTGCGGTCCGACACGCCGGGGAGAAAGAGTGTAAACGACTGAGGCTCGCATGCGTCACCGCTACTAGAACTGAGGCAGAATGAGTGACAAGCGATTTCAGTGATAATTGATAGTGAATAGAAAAGAGGATGCTTGAAGAGTATCATGAGGTGCTGCTATGGTCACGTTGCATTCTGCAAGAGTCATTCTAGTAAGTGGCGATTGTGTTGCAAGATGTCAAGAGGAGGTCTCTGTCTGGAGGCGCAGGTCGTCAGCGATGTGTGAGATTGTGCTGTGGGTATGCTTGTGGTGTGTTGGCTTTTCTGTTTGTTTTCCATTTCAGCTCTGTCCGTGTGACCCAGGTTCTCGCAATGGCATCAAATTCAACGTGCATTGGTCGTGAAGGAAAAAAGGGTTGGATCCCTTTTTTGCCGGGGAGTGTCAATGGAGTTGAAGATTGAACGATCAATTCACGGTTGTTTGCTCAAACTCAACTTCCCCAATTTTCGCGGAGGCATCAATACGACAGTCATCGTCTCATCGGTTGCTGTTCAGAAAGAAGAGTTAAATATCGTCAGAAGTAACATAACGATTTATTATTGTAATATTTGTTTACAGACCTTAGTTTTCTTAGTTTGCTTAGTGATACTTGATCTATATGCTGGTGTAACAATACATAATACTCAAGTCAACAATTGGTGTTTTGGTTTTTTCGTCCGTTATAACTAAGCGTTTCTGAAAACTCAAAGGAACAGCGTGGGCCCGAGCGTAGCGAGAGCTGGGCATTACCGGTTTATGAGACGGTAGCTGACACCATTATCACATGGAATTAAAAAAGCTATAATTGTATCTGTGTAGAGGTATGTATGTAGGTGTGATTGTACAACAGCCTTCAGAAGTGAAATCACCAGAGAAGTGTCTTTGCTGCTGTCCTTCTTGTTCTTTTCTCTCTTATATAAAAGAAACCTAAATGACACCTGTGATGACAGTCTGATGTTGTTTTATAAATGATGCCTACTAGGAGAATCCAGGTGGGGTGTTTCATATTTGCCAGCTAGTTGTATAGGACAGTGTTCAGTCATATACTTATACTGACTGAGAAACACAATGAGGTATTCAAGCATTGGTTCGTAGGGATTTGATTGATAGGTAACAGAATTTCATCATAAGCTGACATTGGTTTGTTGTTCATTGGAGTCGAAATGCTGAGCACCTGATTAGACTACTGTATATAAACTAGTAGTTAGAGCAGCAGTCAATCAAATGTTCAGCACTATTTCATTGACGGTAGTTATGTTTATAAAACTAAGTATCGCATCATATTTTCAAGTATGTTCCTCCTAGTGTAACAACAGAAGACAAGGGCCAGGCAACATATCGTTTTATTATGAAAATCAACACGTATTTATACATATTTCTCATACATTTTTATAGCTTATGCAAGTAGACAAGCGCAGTCATCTGATTGGTTGTTTATCAGAAGTTAGGCAGACAAACGCAGGCTTCTGATTGGTTGTTTCGGGATTCCTCGACAAATAGAGTTCTCCATCTGCGAATCATATTTTACCACGTTAACTTTGCCGTGATTGTTTGTTGAATCAGCCTTGCTCATATTTTCTCACGGCCTGCTCTCACCACACTAGTACTTCCCACCACTCAAAGATGTCAACGAAATAGACGACGAAAAGGGTGAAGCCTCCATCACACACAAGTGCCGAAAAACAATGTCGCTTGTATTATTCGGTCTCATCAGATAGATGATTTTAAAAGGGGACTCAGGTGGAGAAGAGTGATTTGAATGCACCATCTGTGGAAGAATTGAGCTGGTGGTTGTCCTGAGTTGTCATCATGGTGTTTTTGCTGGAGAATGCTCAGATATGCTCCGAGAAACCGTGTCTTTCATGCGTCCAATATGAATAACTCCACAGGAGCAAGTGAATTAGTAATCATTGATTAAAGTGGGCGAATGTGGCTGTCTATTCATCCCACATTGACTGATCATTTCCGATAGTACAAACTGATCCATAGCTTAGCAGGAAAGAATTCATTTTCTCGTTGATCTGGATTGGTCTCTTTCAGAATCTCGACCACCGTATCACCTGTAAATTCAATATTCATCACCGGCAATGTCCTCAGTACTGTTTGGATTCTCCTAGACTTCTCCATGAATTTCACCTTTTTCTCAATTAATCCAGTAGAATACACATTTGTGAATGAGGATTCGCCCGAGCATTCACTTCATTATGAGATTGCATGACTGATGGAATTACTTCTTATTTTCACAGGTGAGGAGCACACCAGGTTTCTCCTTCCTCTCAATCGGATTTCAACATATCAGGATCATAAGATGTTATTCAAAATCTATCATATGTGTACATTATAGCCTACAGTTGTGAATAATATCAAGCTCTTATTGTGTGTCTGTGTGAAGACAAATTTGTTGTTGTTCTTCACCTGCACGAATGATCGTAGTTCAAATTTCACTATTATGAATAATACGAAGTATCTTTCACATTACGTGCGAATCATCTTTTCCTTAATTTTCATTAAATGATGCAAGACTTCTTTTTTGTTACAAAAAGTGAACAGACATGCAGCGATTTCATCACACTGTTTAGGCTGTGCTATGCATCGACAATACACTTTTCAAGCAGTCCTAGTCCTTCAACAAAGCTATTGTTGCGCGCATCTACATAGTGGCCACTGGATCACCCTCTCCCTCTCTCCACAATATCAAAATCCATACTGGTTACGTTAACTGCCTTCCATGTTATGCTATGAGTAATTCCTCCGTTGGAAGTACAACAGTGCATGAAGTATGAAGATTTTCATAAGCACAAAAATATCACAAAATAGTGAAAGCGATGTAGGATTGATTCCTGGAATCCGATGCATTGTGCACTAAAAGTAGTGCTGATTCATTAAAGTGACTCTCTGAAATACACAAAATAATACATTTTGAATGCGAATGTCAACACATCAAAAAGGAAATCTACTACATGTGATGTGTTACTCGTGTGACATAGTTCGTGATGTGTGACCTCATGGCCCATCAGATAACAGATTTTGAGTGTGTGTGTGTGTGTGGGTGGGTGGGTGGTTTGATGAAATTCGAGTACTCCCTATAGAGTGTTAGAAAATCATAAGCATTCATATTGTTGTTTACGTGTGTGTGTATTTGGTGAATATATTTGATGATGGGTAGTTTGGGTATAAAAGTGAGTGTTCGTCTGAGTTGGGTGTGAGAGTGGAAGTTAACAGAGTGAAGTATTGTAGGAAACATGCAACAGTGTGTCGTTTTACTCAACCTACTCGCTGTCCTGAGCATCCACATGTGTGATGCACAAGGTGAGTGACACGTAACTAGTGAGTAACTGGTCGTCTGTAATCCGCATATATTTGTGGGTTTGTAGGTCTGTATGACTTCGTGTCCATTGAAAATTTCTTGTGAATGCTCTCGGAGAGTGAGATTTTTATTCGGTTTTAGGCGAAGCAATATATATATATATATATATATATCAAGGTTGTGTGGGTGGTCTGCTTTCTTGCATGTGATGAGTGATTTCTTGAAATATTGGACATGTGGGCCAACCAATTGGTGTTGTTATCCAAGTAGTTTAAGACACTCTTTCAACTATATTCTCGTGATATCGATATATCCAGAGCATAGTCTCAATTCATTTCATCCCCTTGATCACACTTGCCACTCACATCATATGCACACTTTTTCATCTGTATGAATGTGATTATCGAGATGTTGGTTCTGCTGTCTGAATCTACATTCCAGGTGACCAAGGCGACTGCATCCCCGTTGGGAAATATTGTGCTGCAAGCTTGACGAAGACGTGTTGTCCACCAAACGAGTGTCAAATGACGTCTCCCAGGTCTGGGACGTGTGTGAAGTCATGTTATCAATTGAAAGCACAATGTCAGAAGAATGAAGAATGTTGCAGCAAGCTGTGTATAGACGGGAAGTGTGGAGATGCAAGTAAGTCATGTACTGTACTGTACTGTACTATCTAATTAGACGAACATGCAAGTGATTAGGGATTTCAGTGAGATGAGGAACACCCGCTCGTTTGAGAGAAGTGGCTGCATCCTACCTGTCGACAACAGTGGACAAGGCCAACCAGGCAGGCGATTGATTACACAATCATTTCTCCACTATGTGCTAGTTGTCTCCCGAGACGTCCTCATTTATGTCGGGTGATCTAGGTAGCTGATGGGAATCGGAAATAGACTGTCTCCATTTTGTTTACTCACGACGCCATTATTCGATGTAGCATGTTGTCAGAATGCAGAGGGTTGCCACTTTCTTCATATCAGCGGGTTGTTCAATACAGCTTACAATAGTCAGTGCATCTCGAGTAACTAAATTTATGTTTCTCAGCTACGTCTGAGTCAATGTGACGATTTGTATCAAACGGCTTCCACTTTTTGCATGCACGAATGACGTTAAGGATATCGAAATATCTTCATTGACGTGTACTCGCATGTCAGCTTAAATTTGGAGACATGTGAGTAGTTGACATTTCTGATTTTCTCTCCCCCAGTAGGTCGTCATTTCCTTGAAGGTTATTAGTTTTGGAGAATTCGGACTGTTTGTATCCGTTGATTGGGCTATCAGTTGATGAGAACTCTTCGGACCTCAGAATTTTTGTTGTTGCTTAAATATCAACAAGAATCTTGACATCGATTCATCATTTCGACATTGATAACAGAAGCTCTCCACCATTTCATGTGTTCCTTCGATTCAGATGATTATAGAACCAAGTTGAAATTGATTGTCATTCATTTTCTCGATCACACTCATATCGAGTGTGCATGAACACCCGCTCGTAACACACACACGACTACATGATATCGTCATCACCACGTGCATTCTGTGTGTTCTTCACGCAATATTCTATTGTCACTGATGATTGTAGAAGCAAGTGTCGTCTCACTGTTTCACTGCATTCACATTCCAGGTGAGTGCATCGCCCTCGGACAATCTTGTACTGCAAGTATGGAGAAGAAGTTTTGTCCACCATATGAATGCCAGATGAGCACTCTTAGATCTGGAACATGCGTCCATAATTGTCTCAAGATGAGTTCACCGTGTAAGACGAATGAAGAGTGTTGCAGCAACAGATGTTTCTATGGTAAATGTCTGGACAAGAAAACATTCGGAGAGAAGTGATGTTTGCATTCCTAAGGTGTCTGGATGATTTCTTATATTTCGAATACCTTGTAAACATGTGTGTTACTCGAGACGAAATTGGTCGGCTGACATTCTCATATCATCTCAGTTGATTGATTCGTCTTCGAATTCTCCTCACTTGTTTTCTCTCTCTCTCGCTCTTTTTCTACCCCATCTGTTTCATTAATTCCTTTTGTTGTCATCAAATTGTGAAGACTGTGTATCTGTGTGATGTAATTTTTGAAATAATATTTGTATTCACCTACACTTCTGTGTTATTTTTTCCGTGTTGTGGGGACTTTCTGTTTCCGCGATCTTTGAACTTCGTGGTTAATGTATCTACTAGCATGATGGTGTCTGATCAAATGAATTGTATTCAGTACTTCCTCGATATTCTTTGAGATGTTCAAAATAGACAGGCAGATTTCCCTCTACTTGGCTTACGTGATGTTTCGATGGGTAGTGGATTGTCCCATCATTTGTTTCTGGTCTCTTCACATTAGATTTCATTCAGGTTGAACTTCAATGACATTCTCTCAATACTTCACTTGCATTCTTATACTGTTGTTACTTCACATAGGTGACAAGGAATTAAATGACATAGTATATGTATTTAGTGACAAATTGTACAAATGAAATTACATACAGTAATATGCGAGTGATGTGATTACGAGAAACGCATGAACTGCCACGATGCAATTCCACACGAAATAGCATTCTTCTTAAGTAAAGCCTATCACTGAACATACGTGAATGCAGTCCAATGTTTTCGCATACATCAGTACATATGGTTCTAAACACCAAATCTGCTCATCAGCCTGTTGTGTATGAACGCTTAAGAGGGTATGGTTAGGACGACGACGTTTCGGAGTAACAGTCGAATTTCCCAAGAAGACGGGAAACATTGCGATAGAACAGTTAGTGTAGACATAAATGTCTGAATGAAAAGGTGGTACTTCGCCGAAATGCTTCAGTTAGCTACACACAATATGACGAGTGAATCAGAGGCTAAACTACCTACGATCAGTGACTAATGTATACTGCATGTGACACATGACCTGATTATTCCTTCATAAAACCCTGTGTTGGACTGATTAGCGAATAATGCTCACCACGTATTAGGAAGTCACGCACATGCACAGTGTTGTTTATGGGTATGTATGAGTATTTGATGAATATATTTGTTGATGGATATTTAGGGGATAAAATTCAGTGTTGGTTTGAGGTAGTTGTGACAGTATTCAACAGTGTGCCGTTTTACACAGGCTACCCGCTATCACTACCGTGCACATGTGTGATGCACAAGTTGAGGGAGAACTAACTAGTGAGTAACTGATCGTCTGTAATCCACATATATTTGTGGGTTTTTAACTCTTCGTAATTTCTCACCCTCTGAAGTCTTGCTACGAAGTCTCATAGAGAAGATCCTGCTACAGACAGTACGCTCATGTGATTTTTGCATTACTGAAGGCTTACTGACTCATGTCTAAACATCGGACTATGCATACAGAGTAATTTATTCAACCATTTCTACTGGCATGTTTACGTCCTCGTTGATTCCTACTAAACTGAATTTTGTTCGTCTCCTTGTCTGTTATTCTGACTTCTCTGAATTCTTGTATTTCTTCATAACTCACTCTTACGTAATTCAATACTTTCCTTAGCTTCTATGGCCATCCTGATCACAGCTCATTCAATAAATATTTCAACTTTTTACGTATCTATGATACACTCCTCTGTGAACTTGCCTTTATTCACTGACTCATCTGAACAACTTTGTTTGTGACAACTCATCACCTCTTTGAATAAAACAATGGGTTGAATTCAAATGCGATTATGCAGCTATGGAGGAAGATGAATTCACCAGAAGGAGCATCTTCACTGGACTACATGTTTTGTTTTGACTAATGTATGGATGGGGATTAATCATGAATTGTAGGGTAATCTGTGTATGACTGTGAAGTTGAATTGCCAGTTCGCTCGATGTGCAGAATCGATAATGTGTTTGAGAACACAGCTGTGAGGGAGGGATCCCTGTTCTACTTATTGGAATCATGAGGGTGAATATTTGATGATACCTCAGAATAGCAAACGACCAACATTCTTACCTCAGTATTTTGGCCGATGAATTGATAGACGCATGCAGTAAATCACCAACCCCAATCATTCATGTAATCGACAAGTAACATTCAAAGTCATCATTCCAAATTTTGTAATTCTGCATCACTCCATCCGCAGATGACCAACTGTTTTAATGTAATGAGAAGAATATCCTGTATGTTTCTCAGTGAGATCATAGGTGACCAATAACTTTTGAACAATTAAAATAACTATTGGATTTTCGCGAATGCTTTATTTTTTATTTTATTATTATTGCTCCTTTGGGTTCCTAGTGGAACATAGGGCTTCAACTGCACGTCTCCATTTTCTTCTGTCTTCTGCTATACTTTTCGCCTGCATCCATGTTAATCCATATTCTTTCAACTCCTCTTCACACGGTCTTCTCCATGTCACCCTTGGACGTCCCACACGCCGCTTCCCTTTCGAGTTCCACTCGAGGGCTTGGCGCGCGATGTCACCCAGCGGTCTCCTCAGCGAGTGTCCGATCCATCTCCACTTTCTCCTGCATATTTGTTGGGCGATTGGTTCTTGCTTTGTTTGTTCCCATAATTCCTTGTTGGTGATTCTTTCCGGCCATCTGATCTTCAGTATTGAGCGAAGACAGTTCGCGAATGCTTACCAAGGTACAATGATAGATTGCATTTCCATCTATCTCATTCATTTCCTTCTGATGTGGTGAGACAGCAATCTGTTCCATAAAGCATTAGATACATGAAATAGAGTTGTCTAACCTGATTGCACTCCACGTGAAGTATTCGATCTCAGGAATACGTTACGTATTACATTTGAGTATGTAATAGATGGAATGTTACGGCATCACGTCAACATACTCGTAATACATCGTCACTACTTTTGAATGAATCTTACTGAACTAAATGTGATTATATCAAGGAGGATGTGTTATGAAAGTAAAGCTTTAGGTTACTTGAAGTTTGATGATGGATTAATTTGTCCCACGATATTGGTTGGGGTTGTGATTATGTTCTGGTGATACTTCTCAGACTAGGACGGAACAACCGTCCAGTACCCTCAGCATCAATCCATAAGAAATCTTGAAATAACTGACTCTTACAAACCTAAAAGAACACTTAAATCCACATTACTTTATTCAGATTTGTTAATTCTTTCTCCCTGAAAATCTTCGTTAAAAGACTTTAATGAAATTGAAAATACTCCACAGGGTTAACTATATTAGTCTGCCATATAATGCAGTGGCTGAAATTACCTAAGCAGTAACATCACTCTTTGTATCTTTCACTTCACAGAACGCTGACACTACAAGTCAACTTATTCTAGTCTCATTTGGAGTTGGCGAATGCTTGAAGTTTGTCAATGTATACTGTTGAAGGTATCAAAGTAATGTGGAATGTAGTTGTCGTTATTGTTCAGGGAATTCATCATGACTAATTTCTTGAAACATCCAAAGTTCTTCATACTTCATGCACTGTTGTACTTCCAACGGAGGAATTACTCATAGCATAACATGGAAGGCAGTTAACGTAACCAGTATGGATTTTGATATTGTGGAGAGAGGGAGAGGGTGATCCAGTGGCCACTATGTAGATGCGCGCAACAATAGCTTTGTTGAAGGACTAGGACTGCTTGAAAAGTGTATTGTCGATGCATAGCACAGCCTAAACAGTGTGATGAAATCGCTGCATGTCTGTTCACTTTTTGTAACAAAAAAGAAGTCTTGCATCATTTAATGAAAATTAAGGAAAAGATGATTCGCACGTAATGTGAAAGATACTTCGTATTATTCATAATAGTGAAATTTGAACTACGATCATTCGTGCATGTGAAGAACAACAACAAATTTGTCTTCACACAGACACACAATAAGAGCTTGATATTATTCACAACTGTAGGCTATAATGTACACATATGATAGATTTTGAATAACATCTTATGATCCTGATATGTTGAAATCCGATTGAGAGGAAGGAGAAACCTGGTGTGCTCCTCACCTGTGAAAATAAGAAGTAATTCCATCAGTCATGCAATCTCATAATGAAGTGAATGCTCGGGCGAATCCTCATTCACAAATGTGTATTCTACTGGATTAATTGAGAAAAAGGTGAAATTCATGGAGAAGTCTAGGAGAATCCAAACAGTACTGAGGACATTGCCGGTGATGAATATTGAATTTACAGGTGATACGGTGGTCGAGATTCTGAAAGAGACCAATCCAGATCAACGAGAAAATGAATTCTTTCCTGCTAAGCTATGGATCAGTTTGTACTATCGGAAATGATCAGTCAATGTGGGATGAATAGACAGCCACATTCGCCCACTTTAATCAATGATTACTAATTCACTTGCTCCTGTGGAGTTATTCATATTGGACGCATGAAAGACACGGTTTCTCGGAGCATATCTGAGCATTCTCCAGCAAAAACACCATGATGACAACTCAGGACAACTACCAGCTCAATTCTTCCACAGATGGTGCATTCAAATCACTCTTCTCCACCTGAGTCCCCTTTTAAAATCATCTATCTGATGAGACCGAATAATACAAGCGACATTGTTTTTCGGCACTTGTGTGTGATGGAGGCTTCACCCTTTTCGTCGTCTATTTCGTTGACATCTTTGAGTGGTGGGACGTACTAGGAGGAACATACTTGAAAATATGATGCGATACTTAGTTTTATAAACATAACTACCGTCAATGAAATAGTGCTGAACATTTGATTGACTGCTGCTCTAACTACTAGTTTATATACAGTAGTCTAATCAGGTGCTCAGCATTTCGACTCCAATGAACAACAAACCAATGTCAGCTTATGATGAAATTCTGTTACCTATCAATCAAATCCCTACGAACCAATGCTTGAATACCTCATTGTGTTTCTCAGTCAGTATAAGTATATGACTGAACACTGTCCTATACAA